CATGATGCTGTTGATACGTGCAACAAACACTTGAGCACTGAGCCTGGAAGTTGTCAGGTGGGATGGGGGAAATGCCCTCATAAACAAGTTTGTCTAGAATGCCTCTTTTTAGAAGGTGGAGTAGCTCCTCTTCCGAGGAGAGCAGTAGTACAACACCAGTGTGGGTGGTGAATATGTCCACAGGTGCGATGGTAGCCTTGCTACAAATGCAGTCTAAAATTTCCCTTTTGGATTTCGGGTCACGAAGTCTCACTCTTATATTGGGCATTTTGCCCAGCTAATTTGAAGCTGACTCAGATAATATGCTGAAAAGAAATCAGTTGCCTGTGTGTGCTTGCATCCTAATTCCTATTTCGGCTGACTTATGAAGGACAGCCCCTAAGATAGCTTAGCCCTCGAGGGAGTGAGGGGAGACGGGGCTCAAGGCAAAGATCGGCCGGATTTTAAAAAACCACACGGGCTACTGGATGGTCAAAATGCCTTGTTTTAAGTCGCCAAAGGCGAAGTTGCTGAAAATTAAGAAGACAGGAAAGTTAGGAGGATAGCAGTGTGAGGAGAGTGTTCTGTGGATAGGCCAGTGTAGTGGGTTGGGTATTGGGTGGGGAAGGATGAGGTTGGGGTGGTGGGGGAGCGAGGGAACAAGCAGGCTGGTCACCACCTTACCCACTTGAAGGGATGGGGCTCGAAGTGACAGCAAGCTGGATTTCCTCTAAGCTCTGGATCACTCAGGATAACCCAAGAAACTCCATGGGCATGGGTTAAGTATGTTGTTGGATGTAAGGTAGGAGTAAAGTCGCTTGTGTATTATTTTTTTGAATATCTTGGAAAGTAAGGGCAAGTTTGATATGGGCCTACAGTTGTTTAAGTCAGTTGGATCACCTCCAATGTGGATTGGGGTGACCTTTGCTGTCTTGAGTATAGATGGGAAGGCTGAGGATGCTACAGATTTGTTAAACATTGTTGCAATAATGGGTGACAGCTCATATGCAGCTTTTTTATATATGAATGGTGGCAAGTTATCTAGAGCACCTGCTTTATTTTTTAATTCTTTCAGGGTTGAGAGGCCCTCTCCTAAACTTGTTCTCAGGGTCAAAAATTTTTAGGAAAAAAATTATTTTTTTCTTATGACAAGACAAAGAATCTATTCCCGATCATAATGACACCAAAAGTATGAAATCTGATGGAAAACTTACGGAATTATGCTCTTGCAAAGTTGGCAGTCTTGGTGATGTTTATACGAACTGGCGATTTTGCCCACTTTGAGCCCTATTTTTGGGCAATTCCAGTGTACTAGTTGACAAAAATCATAACTATTTCACTAGCACTCCACTTTTTCTATCGAATGAGTACAAGAAACCACCCACTTACCGATTTCAACTATCCAAAAAAGCGGTCAGAAATTAGCAATTTTGTCAATTTCACACAAATTTCAAAAGATGCCAATTTCCAAATAGGGTCCAGAATAAACAAGACAGACATTCCTGGCACTAAAATAGCATTTCCTCTGTTCATTAGTCATGTCCACAGGCCCCTCTTGAATTTCTTTTGCTTTCCACTTTGAATTTTTATTCTCACAAAAAGTAGAAGATTTACTGTTATGCGGACTACTCCAGTAGTGTAGAAATGGTATAAATAATATCAGCACACATGTGAAAGAATATTAGACTCACCAGTTGACTGTATTGGACCCGTGGCATGATTTGTTTGCTTTTGAACTTTGGCAAAAATTGAACATTTCTACTACTTTGAGCTCAATTTCAAGGTACTTTTCATTGTGAAACCAATCAAAATCATCTCAATTTCTGTATTATGTCTTCCATTCTATAAAATGAGACCAGGAAAACTAGAATAAAACCATAAATACCATATGAAAATACAGTGCAAATCGCTGTTTTAAACCAAAAACACAGTAAATTTTTTTTTCTTATTACACACTGTGTGCTGCAGGATTTTTTTTATACTGTGCACACTGACTACATAGACCCATTCTTTCATATGTAGGCCTACCAGCTTTCTCTCACAAGATTTGAAGGCGCTAGAATTTAGGCGTACTAGTAAGTCAATAACCCTGGTGCGCAAGCTGTACTAGTACGTCGAAAACCCTGAAAGGGTTAATGATTTAACCCTTTGACTGTTTCGGTCGTATATATACGTTTTACGAGCCACCGTGTTTGACGTATTAATACGCATAAATTCTAGTGGTTTCAAATCAAGCAGGAGCAAGTTGGTAGCCCACATGTGAGAGAATGAGTCTCCATGGTCAGTGTGCACCATATAAAAAAAATCGGGGAGCCAGTGGTGCATTGTGGGAATACCATTTCAGTAGTCCTTGTTCAGCATGCCTAGCAGTAAGAATTATGTGACTCCCCGGCAAATCTGGGACTCTACTCTTCCCAAGTGATGCTCTAACACAGATGAACGTGTCAGTGAAGGTCAATTTCATTGTTTTGATGAGTTTGTGACCAAAAGCAATGCCCAGGATACCAGAAGAATGAAGGAGAATGAGAGAGAGAATGAGGAAGAAAATGAGAGAGAGAATGAGGGAGTGAATGAGAGAGAGAGAGAATGAGGGAGTGAATGAGAGAGAAAGAATGAGAGAATGAGGGAGAAAATGAAAGAGAGAATGAGGAAGAAAATGAGGGAGAAAGATAATTAGATAGTAGGATGGAGGGGAAGGGAGCATCCGACCCCATTGCTTTGACAGGTGGTAGGGGATGTGAGTAATGAGACAACATGTCATTTTGACAGCTGCCGACCCTGACTCAAAACAATTACAAGTCCACACACTCACACACAATACAACCTTGAAGATAATAGCAGTTATATGAAAGTATCCAGTGACTATATATGTGTATACATTATAGAAACCAGAAGGAAGGAAGTTAGGAAGGAAGGAAGCATGACATGAAAGGAAGGAAGGAAAAAAGTAAGGAAAGAAGGAGGGAAGGAATGTAGGAAGGTAGGAAAGGAATGCAGGGATGTAGGAAGGAAGGTAGGAAAGGAATGCAGGAAGGTAGGAAGGAAGGAATGATGACACATGACCATTTACCTAGGATAACTACCTAACACAACTGCCTGGTAATATGTACTTTGGAGAAAACTGCTCAGATTAGGTGTTTTGTCTTTGCAAATAAAAAAAAATGCCCACAAAAATGCAGACACACTCGTTTTATGTGTGAGGAGTGTAAAACACCATTGTGTATGAAACCATGTTTCAAAGAGTTCCACAAGCTGCAGAACTTCAAGGAACATGTCCAGTGACTGTACATTTGTATATATATTATAAAACAATAGTAATAAAAAAATTTTGTATTTGTTTGTGTAAACAAGTTTTGTAAACAATATATTGATAGTTATATTTGTGCACTTACTGTGTTGTATACGAGTGTATAAATGTACATTGCACCTTACTTTGGACTCACAGGCCACGTAAGTTACCTGAAAAAATAAAATAGTGAAAAAAACAAGAAACCTTGGAATGTAAGTAAACCAAAGTTTACTGGATGAGCGGCATTTGCTGCTGTTGCCATACACGGCTCATTGTCTGCCAACTTTACGCCTCTACATCTTGGTAAGTACTGATCGCAAAAAAGTTATCTTAACATTTTCATAAGAATTTTTTTTTTTTTTTTTTTGAAAATTCTTCGATACCAGGAGGCACTTCTGGATTTGGGGTTGCGACAGTCAAAGGGTTAATGATGAGTGAGACTTCAGTGGAATTAGTTGGAGCTAGAAATAGAGTACATATTTGGGTAGTTGCCAGTGAGGGTCTCGTTCAGTTGGGTATTTGAGCTGGGAATTTGACTTGCTAGCTTTGATCCTACAGCAGAGAAGAGGACAGTATCGGTCCCATAGTACAAAGCCATGAGCTCAGCTCACTCAAATAACCTGTGAGAGGTAAATTTGGGCCTAGTATGAGAAAATGGGTCTATGTGGTAAGTGTGTGCCATATAAAAAAAAATCCTGCAACACAAAGTGCACAATGAGAAAGAAAAGCTGTGACTATTCTGGTTTAAAACAGCAACTTTGCAGTTATTTTCACGTGGTTTCTATGGCTGTATTCTCGGTTTCTTGGTCTCATTTGATAGACTGGAAGATATATTACAGAAATAGAGATGATTTTGATTGGTTTCAGAACTCAAATTAGCTTGAACCTGATTTCAAATTAGTGGATATGTTCAATTTTTGCTGATATTCCAGACTACACGTCACATGTCCAATACGTGTCCAACTGGCCAGTCTAATATGCATATAGGAATGCACTGACATTATTTATACATACAATTATTACAATAATGCAGTAGTCTGCATAACAGTAAATCTTCTATTTTTGTGTGAATAAAATTTCAAAGTGGAAAGCAAGTGTAATATAAGAGGGGCCTGCAGACGTGACTAAGGAACAGAGAAAATGTTTATTTAGTGCTAGGAATGTCTACGCTGTATATTCTGGATCCTAATTTCAAACTGGCAATTGTTGCATTTTGTGTGAAATTGACTATATTACTGATTTCTGATCACTTTATTGGGCAGTTGAAATAGGTAAATGGGCAGTTTCTTGTACCCAACTGATAGAATGGGAGGAATACTAGTGAAATAGCTATGAGTGTGACTAACTGGAACAATGGAACTGGCCAAAAATAGTGGGTAAACTGCGTGAAATTGCCAATGCGTAAATATAGCCAAGACAGCTAATTTTTCTAACACGTAATTCCGTATGTTTTCAATCAAATTTCATACTTTTTGTTTCATTATTGCCCGAAAATGTTTCTCTATCATTTCAGAAGATTAGTTTTTTTTTTTTTTAAATTCTCTGACTCTGAGAGCAAGTTTGAGATCAGGGGTCTCGGCCCTGAAAGGGATAAGAAATAAGATTTGTAATTCTTCCTTGCCCCTAATATGATTAAGATTAAGATTCTTCATTTTAGCATGATACAATGTTTGTACAGAGGTGAATGTTATTTAAGTGGACATGCAGAAAGCCCCTTAATATGAGGTCTCACCAAATGCATCCTCAGTGACATGGATGGTTGCGTGTAGAAGCCCCTGAGTCACAAAGTTCTTGCATGTCACTTGCTCGCACTCCACTCGGCGAATACCACCAGATACCACCACCATTTCTGACTGAAAATGTTCATAGGAAATAAGTAGTATAGTGAAATCAATAAACTTTAAAAACACAAACGTGAAATATTTTTAAAACACATGAAAAAAACATCACAAATCATTATGCAATCTTAGCCATAGACACATTACTTGCATGCATTGAGACAGTAAGTAGAATAAGAACATGGCCAATGACAACAAGAAACAGCTACACACACTGTGGAAGAGATAGTTGATGGGGATTTAGCAGATCTTGAATAATCTCCTGTACACTGGAAAGTGAGAGAATGTCTAATGTGTTATTTTTGTAACTAATAATGTTAGTGCTGTCTCATATAAGTTTTGTGCATTTTAGTGTGGTTTCAAGTAAATTTAGTGCTTTTGAGCTGGTTTTAGGAAAGTCTTTTTTTTCCAAAACTTAGCCAGTCAGAGTTAGCAGGCATATTACTTCTGTTTGTAAGCAGCGATCATGTTTGTTGGTACAGCACTGTGCTTAGATTTGGGTTCCATCCCTAAGCTGTCTCTTTTATAGTAGTAAATATATTACAAATATTCCAAAATCCCCCAAAATTCAAAATCCAAACACTTCGAGTTCCAAGCATTTTGGATAAAGGATTCCCAACTGTACAAGCACAGCCAACATCAGGTCTACTACCAAAAAACAGGAAAATCATAGTAAATTTTTAGTGATGATAAATTAATTCTTTCATTGTCAGTCTGTTGTATCACTGTTTTGAAGATCAAGCCATAAGCTCGGCTCACTCAGATAAGCTGTGTGGTAAATTTGGGCTTAGATATGAGAAAATGGGTCTAATGTGGTAAGTTTGCACTATATAAAAAAAAACCTTCAGCACACACTGCATGAGAAAAAAAAACATGTGACTGTGTTTTTGGTTTAAAACAGCAACTTTGTGGTGCATTTTTGTATAGTTTTTATGGTTGTATTCTCATTTTCTTGGTTTCATTTGATATAATGGAAGACATATTACAGAAATAGAAATGATTCAGTTTGGTTTTTGGACTGAAAGTAGCTAGAAATTGAGCTCAAATTAGCAGAAATGTTTGACTTTTGCCAATGATCAAGAGTAAACAAATCATGTCATGCATCCAATACATGTCAAATGGTGGGTCTAATATGCATTCACAAATGCACTGATATTCTTTATACAATTATTACAATAATGCAGTAACCTGCATAACAGTAAATCTTTTATTCTTCGTGTGAGTAAAAATTTAAAATGGAATGCAAGAATAATATAAGAGGAGCCTGGAGACATGACTAATGAACAGAGAAAATGTTATTTTATTGCCAGGAATGTCTGCACTGCTTATTCTGGACCCTATTTTGAAATTGGCCTTTCTTGAATTTTGTGTGAAATTGGCCAAATTACCAATTTTTGATCACTTTATTGGGTAGTTGAAATAGGTAAATGGGTAGTTTCTTGTACTCAGTCGACAGAATAAAAGGAGTACTAGTGAAATAGCATGAGTTTGGTCAACTGGAACAATGGAATTGGCCCAAAATAGGGCTCAAAGTGGACAAAGTTGCCGATGTGTAAATATCACAAAATATTGCAAAGGTGTAATTCTGTATGTTTTCCATCAAAATTTGTACTTTTGGTTTCATTACATTTGGAAAAAGATTCTCCCTCATTTCATAAGAAAAAAAAATTTTTTTTTTTAATTTTTCGACATTAACCCCTTCAGGGTCCAAGGCCAAAATCTGAAGTGGTGCTCCAGTGTCCAAGAAATTTTGAAAAAAAAAAAAAAAAAAAAATAATTTTTTCTTACAGAATTAAAGAGTATATTTTTGTGAAGGTAATAAGACAAAAAAAAGTTTTTTTTGATCAGTACTTACCGAGAAACAGGGGTGGGAAGTTGACCCAAAATGACCGGGTGGCGGCAACATTAGTGACTTCCGCAAAATCCCATTTTTTTAATTTATGTTTTTTTTTATACTTTTTTCTTTTCTTTTCTAATTTTTTTCTTTTTCTAATAACATTTGTGGCCTGTGAGACCAATATAATGTATATTGTATAAGTGTACACTCATTGTATTCAACACAATAACTGCACTAATTTGTTTATCATTATATTGCTTACAAAACTTGTTTACAAGTTTATTGTAAACAAAATGATGAAAATATTAGTGCGGTTGTGTTGAATACAACGGTACCATATGGTGCAATGGTGCCATATGGTACAATATGGTACAATGGCACATGATACAATGGTACCATATGATACAACGGTACCACATGGTAGAATGGCACCATTTGGTACAATGGTACCATATGGTACAATGGTGCCATAGGGTGCAATGGTACCATAGGGTGCAATGGTACCATATGGTACAATAGCATATGATACAATGGTACCATATGGTACAATATGGCACAATGGCACATGATACAATGGTACCATATGATACAATGGTACCACATGGTAGAATGGCACCATTTGGTACAATGGTACCATATGGTGCAATGGTACCTTATGGTACCGTATGGTGCAATGGTACCATATGGTACCATATGATGCAACGGTACCATATGGTACATTATACCATACAGTACAATGATACCATATGGTTCATTGTGCCATATGGTACTGTTGTATTCAACACACTAATATTTTCATTATTATTTTGGTTACAATAGTTGTTTACAACAAAAATATGCAAAAATGTTGTATATTAGTAATGTTCTATTATATATTTACAAGTGTACAGGAACTTTACGTGTTCCTTGAGGTGGATGACAAAGCACTTTGTCTTGGAAACTGCGGAGTCAGTAGCTAGCTTGTGTCGCCACTCACTCAGTCTTGGTTGGTGTCTCATGCCACCAACACCTATTGACCATATGGTACACGGTATATGTTACAGGGTACCATATGGTACATTGTACTATATGGTAAAGGGTACCATGCAGTACAGGATAACATATGGTGCAGGGTACCATATGGTGCAGGGTACCATATGTGTGCAGGGGTACCATATGGTGCAGGGTACCATATGGTGCAGGGTACCATATGGTGCAGGGTACCATATGGTGCAGGGTACCATATGGTACAGGGTACCATATGGTACAGATAGAGGGATAACTATAGAAATAAGTCACCCTGACTTTTTTGCATTATCCTAGGATTTTATACATATGCTACTATGTATGATAATCTATGTAATTGTATTTCTGTACACCTGAATAAACTTACTCAAGTGCATGTGGCATCATAAGTAAGTTTATTTAGTTATACACAAATAAAGTTACATAGAATATCATACTTAGCAGCATATGTTTGGAGAATCTAGGATAACCCAAAAAAGTCAGACAGATTTATTTCCATTAGGGTCCCTGTACCCTGTACCATATGGTACAATGTACTATATGGTACAATGCACTATACGTACATTGTACCATATGGTACCATTGTACCATATGATACCATTGTATGACATGGCACCATTGTACCATATGGTACCATTGTACCATATGGCACAATGGTACCATATGGTTCAAAACCATAGAATTCGTCTTCAGCTCCACTTCCATCAGTCTTAGAAGTGTAAGTTGTGAAGAGGAGAGTCAGAATTCACCCGGAGAGTGAGTGGGGAGTGAGAGCATCTTGCCGCCAGGCACTATGAACAAAGCTACTTTGCCGGCGTTCCCACAATGCCATGTGGGCGTCCAGATTTTTTCTATGGTGTGCACACTTACCACCCAGACCCATTCTCTTAGATGTAGTCCTACCAGCCTTCTCCTGCTAAATTTGACGGCGCTAGAATTTTGGCATAGATCTACGGTTTGGACCCTGAACGTAAAGCCGTAGATCTATGGGACGGACCCTGAAAGGGTTAAGAGCAAGTTTGAGAGCAGGGGTCTCGACAGTGAAAGGGGATAATGAATATAGAAAACAAGCAAGGTGACATTCAAGCCACCTACAACTAAGAGACTATTTTATAAGAACATCAATATGCAATAACAATTAGCATTAAATAAAGGCAGGTACTATAAACAAAGTAAGATTTGAATTAAGTATAAACTGCCACACCAATCAATTACAGAACAAAAAAGCTGTGAATTTAACTGAAATATTTCATGACAGGAAAATGTGACTGTCAATTGTAAATGCTGCAAAAGATCTTTCAAAAAACCCACACAAGGCAAAACATGTAAATATGCTTGTACTGATAATGTGAATAATAACTGCACTAATAATATCAGACATACAGCTGGGAAGAATATACATGGAAGATTAAACAATATGAACAAAGGCAACTATTAACTTACAGGTTTCCCAAGAAAAAATTAATTTCTTAGAAAAGCTATTGATATCTAGCATATGCCTTCAGGTCTTATAAGCAGGCGTATGTTACGAACAATCAGGTGCTGCTCTGGTAAAGTGTGTAGATTCTATCACCTGGAGATATGTAAAGATTCACTTGAGAAAAAATAATGCTAAGAACTAAAATGCCCCTTGTTTTATGTGAAAGGAACTAAATATTTCTGATAAAAATCTTTTCTGCATGTGGAGATAAAGACAAAAATGAGAAATAGCAAAAAAAAAAAGTAGAGGGAAGAAAAAAAAACTAATTTAGGAGAAAATGTAGAATAAACCAGCAAAGCACTGAGAAGGCATAGGTACAATCAGAGAATGCTGTGTAATATCCAAGACTCAAGACTCTTCAAAATAGTAATATGAAGATGATAATATAAAAGGAAGCTGGACAGCTTCCTATAAAAAGTGCTGGATCAGCAAAGCTGTAATGTCTATTTGAGCCTTTAGCACAAAATATATCTAATATGCATTACTGGTTTTAGGGCCATTGCCCCAGTGGCCTCATCTTAGATCAGGCCTGAAAAAAACACTACAGGAATAAGAATTATTAAGAAACACACAGGATAGTCAAGATAATTATAGTGCAGTATATAATGAATGTACAGTGCTCGTCATTAAAGTACATGGGCCCTCTATAAATGATTAACCTCTTCAAGGGGGGCTCCTTGTTGTGGTGAAGAG